TAGTAGCAAAAACTGAGTCTTTTTGTAAGAAATAGTATATTTTAAAATGAAATGGAAATCTTTTTTAAAGGCTAAAAGCTCATTCAATTTTATGTCTCACAGGGCTTATATACTGAGTTCAATATTATATAACTATTAATTCAACTGTGAACTTAAAAATTTACAGCCACTTTTGAAAGAGATGCATCCTACCTCAGGAAAACGTTATTGAATATGTCAATTGTGTTGTAATGATATGCTTCTTCTAAGTATATTGTTATTAAATAAATCATTTTTAAAAATTAAAAAAAAAGAAATAGAAAAACTAACTAAAGACATATTCCTCAAAAACAAACAAATGAAAACCTCCCAAACAAACAAACAAACACCAAGCATAAGGCCTAGATTATTTCAAAGATGACTCTACTAAAACTTCAAATATGAGGTACTCCTGATAAAGCTTTTAAAATAGCTCAGTGGTTAAGAGCACTGACTGCTCTTGCAGAGGACCCAGGTTCGATTCCCAGTACCCACATGGCGGCTACAAACCACCCTTAACTCCAGTTCCAGAGGAATCTGACCTCTGTGGCATTGCACAACATGGGTGCACTCACATACATGCAGGCAATACACTCCTGCACATAAAAATAATAAATAAAATATTTTAAAAAATTATGTCAGAGCATTGAAATGGAGGGAAATGCACCAGTTGATTCTGTGAAAGAGGTATCATATTGATAGCTAAACATGATGAAGATAGTGCAAGAAAGGAAACATCAGACTGAGAAATATCCATGCAAAAGAACAAAATATATAACGGTAATTTGGCATGAAGGAACATTTTATTAACAAACAAAACCTAATGTCACATTGAAAATAAAAACACAATGATTAGGTGGAATCAATTCCAAGGATGCAAGGTAGGTTTGTTATTAGGAAATCTGCTCATGTCACATGACTACACTAAATTAGTCTAAGGAAAAATAATCATAGAATTATTTTTATAAAAGCTGAGAAAAGCTTTGTGTTCAAATTCATCATTCTTTTATCATAAAATGCTTGTGAAAATAGAACATAATGGATTGTTTCTTAACACAATTTCATATATGTGTTATATGTAAGAATTGTGAAGAAAACACTTAAGATGAAAAACTTGAAAACATTTTTTATTTATTTTTATTTTATATGTATGAATGAGTGTCTTGCCTGCACATAAGCATACCCATGTATACAGTGCTGGTGGAGGCCAGAAGAGGGCATCGGATCCACTGGTACTGTAGTTATAGAAGGTTGTTAGCCACCATGTCAGTGTTGGGAAGTGAACCCGTGTCGTCAGCAAAAGCAGCCAGGATTCTTAACTGCCATGCCAGCCATCTCTCCAGCCCCTAAGATGAAAAAATTTAATGCCATACCAAATATTAAAATCACTATAAGTTCTCTACAATTGACACATTGTGGTACTGGTTTATGCACAGGGAAACAGGTGAATGGTTCAGATTAGGAGGCCCAGAAACAGACCCAGGAACTTACTGAAATTGTGTATGTGACAAAAGAGGACGTGAAATTGTTAGAATAAGGGGGACCTTTTCTTCTTTTTTCCTACATTAAAAAATTGTGGTAAAAGACACATAATGTAAAATTTACATCTTAATCATTTTAAGTGTAAAGTTCAGCAGTTTACATATTGTGAAACAGCTTTCCAGAATTTTCTCATCTTGCAAAACTGAAGTACCAATTAACCAGCAATAGTCCATTAATCAACATTCTTCCTGTCTTTTTGTAAAAACTACTTTATTTTATTTTAAATTGTAAATTTAAAATTTTCCATAAAAGCTACTTTATTTCATTTAAACTTTAAATTACATTTATATATTTAGTGTTTGTATATGTGTATGTGTGCATACGTGTGTCATAATGTGTGCTTGTGGAGATCAGAGGACATCTTGTCGGACTCAGTTCTCTCCTTCCACCGTATGGTTCCTAGGGATTGAATTCAGCTCATCAGACTGGGTGGCAGCACGTTCACCCACTGTGCCTTCGATGGCCCCTGGATTTTCTTAAATGCCTCATATAAGTAGAATCGTACAGTGTTTATCTTTTTATGATTGTCTTATTTTACTTAGCATAATGATCCTCAAGTTTCATTCATGCTGTAGCATATAACAGGATTTCCTTTATTCTCTCTCTCTCTCTCTTTCTCTCTCTCTCTCGGTTTTGAGACAGAGTCTCACTATGTAGCCCCAGCTGGCCTAGAACTTGCTGGTTTCGACCTCACAGTGATCCCCCTGCCTCTTCCTCCTAAGTGCTGGGACTTAAGGGCATGCCCCACCATGCCTGGCCTCATTTCCCTGCTCTTGGGAAGGAAACAGGTGGTCACAGAGCACCTTACAGCTGCTGTTTTTCAAATGCTAAATTTTAGCTCAAAATTGTATGTCAAAGTGGTATATTTTGGGGTGGCATACTTGAACCTCCACAATGTGAACATTTTGCTTATTCATTTATCAGTGGATACTTGAATTGCTTCTTTTTTTTCTTTTTGCTATTGTGAATAATGTTGATAGGAACCTGGGTGAGCAAATACAGCCTGTGCTTTAAGGTGATGTCAGGTTTTCTCATCCAGGCTGATGACCTCAAACAGGATCATATGTATGTGGAGGTCAGAGGACAACTTGTGTCTATTCTCTCCTTCCACCATGTGGGTCCTGGGGCTTGAACTCAGGTCATCAGGCTTGCTGGCAAGCATCTTTTCCTGCTCAGCCATTCCAATGGTCCAGTTCTATCACTTGGATAGATAATTATTTCTTTTTAGGAACTTATTCTACTTTGGAAAGTGCCAATCTTTCTCTGTTCTCTTAGCCATGGGGTAGAGATCAGAATTATCTTAGAAGTCACCATTGTAGGATTTTTCTTCAGACCCCTGGAATGTGGCTTTTTGACAGGGGAGAAGGGTCATAAGGTAAGGAAGGGTCAGGAGAACGCAAGGTGCTCTGCCCTGTTGTACTCCTGGGAATTCAGAACACTGTTGTTCCTTAGTTTCAACTCCTCTGAGTGATCAGGTGATGCTGGGGACCCATGTTACTTATTTATCTTTGTGTCTGATATACAAATATATCACTCTGCCCCTTATTTTGACCCTCTGTTTCCCTTACTGATAAGTAGTTTTCTAATCTCTTCTATTTGCAGATATAATCACTGGTTTGATGGAATGTCTTTGCTCCACCAGTTCAAGATGGAGAAGGGAACAGTGATGTACAGGAGCAGGTTCCTACAGAGTGACACATACAAGGCCAACAGCATTGGAAACAGAATTGTGATTTCAGAATTTGGCACACTGGCTCTTCCTGATCCATGCAAGAGTATTTTTGAACGTTTCATGTCAAGGTTTGAGCCTCCTGGTAAGGAGCCTTTAAATTGCTTGGAATTTACAGGTAATGGTTATTGTTATTTAAATTATTTATATGCATATAAATCTTGAAAAATATGCATTGTGTGTGTGTGTGTGTGTGTATGTGTAAGAGAGAGAGAGTGGGGGGGGGAATGTTGAAAATGATTTCCCTCTGAGAATGCTTAGGATCTGCTCCAACAAGCTGTGGTTCTCAATAATTCTGCTGTTTGGTTTCAGCCATGACTGACAACACCAATGTCAACTATGTACAATACAAGGGTGATTACTACTTGAGTACTGAGACCAATTTTATGAATAAAGTGAACATTGAAACCTTGGAAAGAACAGAAAAGGTAATGTGTAGCCCACAATGAAAGAAAATAGGTCTTAGATTTTCTTTCCATTCAAAATACCTTCTAGAATAGTAGACACCAAAAGAAGAAATTGGAGGTTAACCCCACAAAAGCAAAGTTATCCATTAATTTAATCCCTTTGTCCTGATGAGAATGGGCTGTGGGGTTGGCTTTCCTTAAGGCTAGCCCCAAACTACCTCAGTCTTAGTATCAGAAGGCCAGGATAAAGGGAAAATAGCCCTGACATGGGCTAACCACGATTACTACCGGACTAGAGATCATATACCCAGATTGCCTTGACACATTAAATAAAATTCAGGACAAATTTAAAAATATTTTATTATTTCTATTTGATGTATATGAATGTATTGCCTGCATGGATGTAAGTGCACCCATGTTGTACAATGTCTGAGCAGGTTAGAAGAGGGCATTGGATCCCCTGGAACTGGAGTTATGGATGGTTATTAGCTACCATGTGGGTGCTGGGAATCAAACCCAGGTCCTCTACAAGAGCAACCAGTGCACTTAACTGCTGAGCCATCTTTCCATCTCAGGATAAATTTTCTGAGAGTCTCTTGCTTTGTAGCTTGGGTTGGCCTGGAACTCACTATGTACTTTGAATTGGTGATCTTGCCTCAGCCTCCCAAGTGCTGGGATTACAAGTATGTACTCTCACTTCAGACCGAAATTTTAAATCTTATGCTTCTTTTGAACTTTCTTGAGATCTTAAAAAAATCTCGCCAGGTTTTTTGTTGTTTGTGATGGTAGTGGTAGTGCTAGTTTTGTTGTTTTGTTTCTGTTTCTTTTACTTCAGTGGAAAAAATAATTTTGATTTTTCAAAGGTAAGAAATTTGAGCTTGTTCTCTACCTTCATATCATACTCTTAACACAGCTGACATTCCTGTATGGTTTTTGCTAATTTATGTTAATAAAGATGTGTGTATTTTACCATTCTCTGATATCTTAAACTTGCAGGTAGACTGGAGCAAATTCATTGCCGTGAATGGAGCGACCGCACATCCTCATTACGACCCAGATGGAACAGCATACAACATGGGCAACACCTACGGGCCAAGAGGTGAAGGGAAGATGGAAGTCTTTTTAGAGATAATCGGGAATAAATGTCTTCCCAAGATTCTATTGTGGTTAAGTTGTGAACATGAAATTTCATTTGAGGGTTCAGAAAGAAGTCTTCAAAGTGACATTGCTGAGGTTAAAATATGTGATTTATCACTAAGTATACATTCTGTGGTCCTTTTGTACCAGTCACAGCTCACCTGGAAGTCACGATGTGAACCAGGGTGGCCTCAATATCACAGAGATCCACCTGCCTCTGCCTCCCGAGGATTAAAGGTGCATGCCACCATGCCCAGCGTCTATATGTCCTTTTCAGCAAAACTTAGTATTTATGTTCCGTTATGATTTGGCGCTTACAAGCCTTGCTGGGATTTTTAGTACATAGCTCTTGAATTTGAACTTTTAAGAAGTATAATATTGTAAATATGAGAAATTTAGAATGCTGCAGAAAAGGTATGTTGTCTATGACACAGGAGGGAATTTTTTTCTTAAATCAATTCACTACAAGGTAAGTTAAAGCCATAAGTGGATAGCATTCACAACTGCATACACCATACCTCTTGGCTGCTTATCCATGTGCTACCTGTTCTAATAGCTAATAATTATAGCTAGTGTTTATTGAGTATCCAAGATGGGCTGGTGCCAAAGCTCTGAGGAAGTGCCTTCTATTACCACGGTTTTTACAGGGGAGGGCAGTGAACTTCAAGGAGGTTGCAGCCATTTGCTTAGGCTAGTTTCTATGTCTCTCAAGGTAGGTCTGCCTTCACACACAAACACTTGCTCTGAGTTACTCTGTTGGGCTTTCTTACGAGATTTGCATCAAATCTGGAAGACTGTACTGGTATTACTTAACACTCAGTCTCATTCTTTCTCCACTTGTTAAGGGCCTTTTAGCCTATACACCCACTCTCTCTGTAAATTCTTGTTTCTGTATTTGAGTACAGGTGTCTCTGAACAAGAGTATGTTAGTATTAGATATTCACAACTACTAATCATGTCGACAAACAATGAAACCTTTGTATCAGTTAATGGTATGCTTTTGGAGAGTAATTGACCTTGTGGATTGCTTCTCTGAACTTTTATATTTACATAATGAATATTTATGAAGACAAATACTGTAGTTTTATTTGCTCAGGTACAGATAGGATGCCCTGGATCCTTATTGGTAACATGGCTCGATGGGCTCAATGATTCAGTAGGTTTGTCTTGGTCTGCTCATCTTTTCTGCTCATTAAACCCCCTCCCCCTTCTTGGAACTGGAAAGATGATGGCTCAATGACAAGAGCACTGGCTGCTTTTGCAGAGGACCAGGGCTTGGTTCCCAGCATCCACATGGAGCGGCTCACAACCTGTAACTCTGTATTCTAGTTCTAGGGGTTCTGATGCCCTCTTCTGGCCTCTGAGGGCATTTGCATGACATGGGTGCATTTATATACATTCAGGCAAAACACTCATACACATAAAATTAAAAAAAAAAAACCTTTAAAATAAAGCAAAAAAAAAAAAATCCCCACTTCTTATTGTCTGTTAACCAAGTAACAGTCATAAGCACCCGCTCTTGTTACCGTGTTTCAGCTTTCTGTTTACGCAACCTCCTGAAACATCTGCCAGCGTCAGACACAATGTGCTGAGGCAAGCAGATTTCCTCTACCCACAACCTTCCTCTGCATCAAGGTGCCTGTCTTGCTTAATGCCTTTAGGATATTCTCAGTCCTAAATTCTCAGTCTTTAATGCCTTTAGGATATTCTCAGCCTTGTGGTTAGAATACTTCATTGACTGTTTCAATTCAGTGAGTTGGGTAATCCAGTTGCCAGGATAGGAGATCCTTTTCTTTTCTAATCCCGACTAACACCAAACCCACTGCTGTTTTCTCATTTGCTTATCTGGTTCAGTGAGAAAGTTTTGAACTGGAGTGTAGTGTATAGGTAGCTGCAAGGAGCTTGATTACCTAGGATAGGTTTGGAGGAAGTCTAGTGATTCTGATTGTATGAAAATAAAATGCCTGTAATTAATTTATACTTTAAGGAACTGAAAAGCTTAGGAAAAAGACTAAGGAAGCCAGCTACAAATCATAACGAAGTTTTATCTTCTCCAAATATTTCCAAATATTTTAAGAGCCTCTTTAGAAATTAGCAAATACGCTTTGAATATTTTATCAATCCACTTAGTTTTTAAAAAATATTTTATTTTTTTATTATTTATTTTATGTATACGAGTATATTGCTTGCATGTATGTAAGTGCACCCGTGTCATGCAAAACCCGTGGAGGTAAGAAAAAGGTGTCAGATCCCCTGGAACTGGAGTTATGGATGGTTGTTAGCTGCCATGTGGGTCCTGGGAATCAAACCCAGGTCCTTGTCAAGAGCAGCCAGTGCTTTTAACCATCGAGCCATCTCTCCAGCACAAGTTTTTAAGACTTATTTAAAATACATTCTTCATACTAGACAGTCACTGTTCTTGTCTGTCAGTTCTTTATACCACTGTACAAAACATGTTGTTTTATATATACATGGTGGGCTCTCCAAACCTGTCTGAATCTTTCACCTAGATCTCCAAAGTAATTTATAAGTAATTGCTTACTCAGTGTTTTTACAAGGTTGTCAAACAGACATTAGAAGACTGAATTCCTGAACCTTTTCTCCAAACTTTCTCAAGACAAATCTTCTTCATCTCAGTTGATGGTAACGCCATCCTTCCGGTTGGTTATGGCAACTTTGGAACCATTCTTCATATTTCTCTTTCACATATACACTCAATAAATCAAAGAGTAATCTCAGCAATGCCTTAAAATATCTCCAAGATCCAACCATTTCACATTAACACTTCCATGGTCACTCCACTATTTTTGAGCCGGCATGTCCTCTCATTTAAAGTTACTGCAATAACCTTTCAGCTAGTTTCTTTGCTTTTTCCTTTTCTGTATTCTTAACATAGCAGTTGCAGTTGGCCTTTTACCCACCCACTTCTCTGGTCTCATCTTTTAGACTCTCCTCACCTATTAGGACCACAGTGGCCTTCTTGCTATTATTTGAACACTCCAAACCGTTCCTGGTTGCATTTCCTCTTTCCTCTGCTTTGAATGCCTTTCTCCCAGATAGTCTCAAAGGTCTCTTCCTTAATTCTTTTGGGCCTTCACTTAAATGTCATCATCTACTTAGCAAAAGCCTTCCCAGACCACCATATTCAAAACGGCAGACAGTAATCCCCACTCTTACATAGTCACTACATACCCCAGTCCTGGTTTGTTTTCTATTGTAGTTTGTATCACCATCTGATGCATTGCAAATTTACTTACATGATTTGTTCGAATTGGAGCTTTATAGAAGCATATTTTTGTCTGTTTTGTATACTGTGGTATACAGTTATCTGGAATATCATGTTTAAAATATTTAGGGCAGTGTTTAGGACTATGGTTAGCATTCAGCAAATGGTTGTGGAGCAAGTGAACCCAGAAAGGAGTACATACTTATTTTGTTCCCAAACAATGGAGATGGCAAAATTTCACGTTATGCAAGTTCATCATGACCTATACTGGAAATTACAATACCAGGAAGATAATTCAGTATCACCTAAATATTCATTCACCAAGTAACTGCATAATGTATGTTGTTAGTTGATCTGTCAATACCTAGGTATATCATGCTTGCGAAATGCCAAGTTCTAGTGAAATGCCAAGTCCTAGCAAGGGCCAAGGGCCATCTTTTATTCTAAAATGTGTGCAAAACAGTTAAGACAGAACTTCTCTGTCTTCTAGGTTCCTGCTATAATGTTATTCGTGTCCCTCCAGAAAAGGGGGAGCCTGGGGAGACAATTCATGGAGCCCAGGTGATATGTTCTATTGCTTCTGAAGAGAGAATGAAGCCTTCTTACTACCATAGTTTTGGTGAGTCCAGAGAGGAGCCAGTTGCAGCAGGCTTCACTTTAGTGCTGCTGTATCAGAGGGATTAGTTGCTTTGAGTTAGGGTCTCACTATGTAGCCTTGGCTAGCCTAGAACTTACTATGTAGGCCAGACTGACCTTGAACTCACAGAGAGCCACCTGCCTCTGCTGGGATTAAAGGCATGTGCCACCACACTTGACCAGAGGGATTAGTTTTGACAAGTACAGTGCTTATCAGGGTTACATTAATGCCAGTTTATTCTATCTAGACATGTCCTTCTTATGCTAGCCTGCAGGTTGCTTGAGGAGACATAGCTGCTTTGTGTAAGTAGTTACTCATAAGTTACGTGATAATTAAGCGTTTAGGCAACGTTAAAGTCCCAAGATACTAATCACATGTGAAAAGGCCTTGACTATTTGGGGGGAACTTATATTCTGTGTAAATTTTGTCAGCCTTTACTTTGTGTATTATAAATCGCTATAGCCCAAATAGTCCTAGGTCCTAACCCCATCAAGTATAGGAAAAGGTACCAAAGAAGAAATGCACAGAGCATACATGGCACTTTCATATCATGCTTTCCTTTATTCTTAAAACAAGATAATTCAAAAAGGAAAGAAGAGACAAAAAGCAAGCCGAGGGCATCCAACCCTGATATTCTTAGCAGTTCTCTTTTTTAAAATGTAGAAACAGGAAACGTGTAGTAGAGCTGGGAAACGGAGGTATTTCTGGATGATGTTTGTGTAGGTCAGCAGTTATGTGCCAGGCATTCAGACGGGATCACAACTGCCACATTTCAACCTATTCTGTCTTGCCAAGTAACATTTCATTGTTTCCTGGAACCTCTTAGGAATGACGAGGAACTACATAATCTTCATTGAACAGCCTCTAAAAATGAAGCTGTGGAGAATAATCACTTCCAAAATTCGAGGAAAGGCCTTTTCCGATGGGATAAGCTGGGAACCCCAGTATAATACGCGGTTTCATGTGGTGAATAAACACACTGGACAGGTTGAGTATTTTTTTTTTTTTGGCCTTTTTGAGACAGGGTCTCCCTGTAACCCCAGCTGTACTGGAACTTGCTGTGTAGATCAGGCTGGCCTCAAACTCACAAAGATCCTCCTGCCTCTGCCTCCCAAGTGCTGGGATTAAAGGTGTGCGCCACCACACTGGCCTCAGGTTGAGTATTTTGAGCATATTTATAATGAAAATGTCTGGCCCTAAATGTGAATTTCTGTATAGCTGAGTTTTCACCTTACTGGACATTATTTTAAAGACATTCCTGATTAAGGATATTATTTTCTTCTGCTAGTTGGGCTAACTACTTACTAATTAGCATAGTAGACTTTGCATGTTAGAAAATTGTAGGAAATTCTTTTTATTCCTTTAATCATCTGATTTATTTAAAAGAGCATTTAGGAAGATATATGTTTTCTGATATAATAGTTGCAGAGAAGTCTTATTTATCTTATTTATCTTATGTAACTTCTGCAATGATACTTTAAGACTTAAAGTAGCGGCTGGAGAGATGGCTCAGCAATTAAGAGCATTTACTGCTCTTCCAGAGGACCTGGTTCAGTTTCCAGCACCCACATGGCATGAACAACCATCTGTAACTTCGGTTCCAGGGGATATGTCACCCTATTCTGGCCTATGAGGGCACTGTATGCACATGGTGCACTTACACTTGCACTCGAAACACTCATACACATGAAAAAAGAAAGACTTAAAGTGGTTGCTTCTGAGACTTCTTCCTATGCAAATGTCATAATCCAACCAGGGTCAAAGTATGTTGGTTGGATGCCTTCTTATATTCTTGATTAGTAATAGTGGTATTGTATTTGTCTACATTTTATCTCTCTAAGAAGGTAGTACTCTAAATCTATCTGAATTTCCATTACAAAATAATTTGGATTATGAGTGTATTTTTCAATTAGTCAATTTATAGTAAGTCTACTCAGCAGAAGTATTTTCTACTTAATCTTGTAGTTAGACTCTAGGATTTATTTATCCTTTAAAACCTTAGACCATTTTTCATAAAATCTTTTGAATTAGTCATAGCAGTGCATTGGCCCATGTCAAATAGTCCCTGTTCATTGATTAATATGAAGAGACGACTTAAGTAAGCAATGCTTAGATAAGTGTATTTGTTTCTATATTCTGGATTCTACTTCCTTTGACATACTGAGTATGTCATATAAAGGGGGGATTAGCCTCTTAATTTGAGCTTTGCAGATCTATTTCTGAAAGGGGAGAGGAGATGGGGAGAGAAGGAAAAGGACAGAAAGGAAATAGAATGTCTCTTTCCTCATTATGTTTCCCCTGCAGCCTCTTCCAGGGATGTACTACAGCAAACCTTTTGCTACTTTTCATCAAATCAATGCCTTTGAGGACCAGGGCTGTGTTGTGATTGATCTGTGCTGTCAAGATGATGGAAGAAACATAGACATTTACCAACTACAGAACCTCAGGAAAACTGGGGAAGGGCTTGATCAGGTAAACAGCTCTGATTTGTCAGGGATTGCCAAAATAATTTAGAATTAGTCAAGATCTGGCTTTGGCTCTGGAGTTTCCTGTTTCTCTTGCCCCCATGACAAATGAGGAAGGAGAGTAGTTTTAAAGCTTTGAAGAAACAGGTTTGTCATGCATTTTGTATTAAAAATAATCCTAAGTAGCTTATTTAATGACTAATAAATAAAAATCACGGTAAAGACGTAAAGCTATGTGTTGTGAAGCAATTGTGGTTAGTTCCATATTACACTTAACACACTAAACATACTTAAGATAAATTGGTGGGATAGTAAGATGGACTGTCAGTGTATCAGTTCATCTGACTGAAGGACTTTTTTCCAAGAAAAAGTCCAAGATAAAAACTTTCGTTACAAGCCGGGTGTGGTGGTGCACGCCTTTAATCCCAGCACTCGGGAGGCAGAGGCAGGCAGATCTCTGTGAGTTCAAGGGCAGCCTGGTCTACTCAGTGAGTTCCAGGACAGCTGGGGCTACAGGGAGACCCTGTTTCAAATTTTTTTTTCATTGCATTATGCAATATAAATTGGCTTCATCTGTAGTTCTATTTTTCAGCTATTTTTAAAAATGTTTATAGTTTTTTTAAAAACAGTATTTTATATTAAGCTAACATTATAATTTATGGGAGGTGTCGATAGCTGTCATTTAAGCTTTTTGCCTGTTTTTTCAGAGATTGCCTAGGTTCTCCTTTGATTCTGTGCTCCCATAAGTTTTTGGGTCAACTTGGCAGTTTTTGCCAAGTATTTAAAGTATAGGTCAGTTAGGGGATAATGAAATATCTTTATAATATATTGCGTCTTCCAATCTATGAACTTGGGATGCTCTGTTTATTTGCATCTTTGATTCCTCTCAATAGTGTTATACTTGTCATTGTTTGGACATCACACATTGTTGCTAAATTTATTCCTAGGCATTTTGCATATTTTGAAATAGTTGTAAATGATATCAGTTAAACTTCCATTTTGTTTCTAGTATATTAAAATGCAGTTGATTTTGTATGTTGATCTCATATTCAGATATCTTGATAAATTAATGTATTAGTTTAAATAATTTGCAAATTATTTCAGACTTTCTATATACACAATCATTTTATCTGAAAATGATGGTTTTATTTCTCTCTAATATTTAGACCATTTATTTCTTTTTCTTGCCTTAACATTCCAGTGAAGACTTCAGGTTGAATATAAAATGATAGTGGCAATCGTTCTCCCTATCTCAGATGGAAAATGTTTAACACTGTACCACCGAGCATGTAATTACTACAGGTTTTTTTTTATAGGTACCTTTATTAGGTTATCTTACTTGTGCTTTTGCTGGGGATATTCTTAATTTAATATGGTCTAGGTTGTAAATTTTCTTCCTTTTGACCAATATATTGTGTATCATCTTTTAGATTATCTTCCCATGGTAAAGTTATGAAAATATTATCATATGTTTGTTATATAGAAAAATCAAGTATCTACATATATATTACGTCTTCTGTCACTAGATCCCCAGTAGAAGGTAGAATGTAAGTGATGTTAATGAATCCTTATCTGGCTTCCTGTCTGAGAAGAAAAGTTTTCAGCATTTTACATCTCAGTATGTTGCTTGCTGCCTATTAAACTAATGGACTGTATTATGAGCAGTTTTAGCTTTAAAGAAAAAATAAGCATAAAGTATGAAGAGTTTCTGTATACTCTTCTCCCTTAGTTCTTTGAATATTAACATTTAAAATGTACTTTATTTATTATTATTACTGGGTATGTGTATGTGTGCATGTATGATGTGTATGGGGGGCTGCACATACATGGGAGTCAGAGGACAACTTTTGGGACTTGGTTCTTTCCATCCACCAAGGGCTCTGGGGATTGAACACAGGTTGTGAGGCTTGTACAGCAAGCCCTTTGACCCTCTGAGCTGTCTTACCAGCCTAGTATTGACATCTTTCATCGTTATTATACATTTGCCATATTTAATGAGCCAATATTGATCCATTATTACTAACTAAAGTTATTACTAACTAAAGTCCATAGTTTATTCTAGGGTTCACTCTTTGTGTTAACTAATTTTTTTGCTATCTCTGTAGTTTTGTCTTTCATAATGTCATATAGATGGACTCATGCTATGTGTAGGCTTTTCAGGCTGAACTTTATTATTATTCTTGTACAGAGTATTTTTTACATACCCCTGGTTGACTTGGTACTTGCTAAGCAGCATAGGCTGGGCTTGAACTTGCCACAATTCCCCTCCCTTAATCTCTTGAATGCTAGGACTATTAGGTGTGTACCACCACACCTGGCTTAGGCTGACTCTTTTTTTCTTTAAAGCAGCATACATTTGTGGTTTCTCCATGTCTTTTTGTGTTTTGACAACTCTTAAATTACTGAATAATAGTCTCTTGGGTGGATGTACTAGTTATATATTCATCCACCAATTGAATGACATCTTGGTTGTTTACAATTTTGTTGATTATGACAAAATTTGTTATAAATATTTGTGCACAGATTGCATGTGAACATAAATTATGAATATATTTCTTTTTGAGACAGAGTCTCATGAAGTCCAGACTGGCCTCAAACTCATTGTGTAGCTACAGCTGGCCTTGAACTCCTGGTCCTTCTGCCTCTGCCTACCATGTTCTGTAATTACAGCCATGTGCTACTATACCCAACCTTTTGTTAGATCAGGAAAGTTCCCATTTACTCATAGATTACTAAGAATTTTGATCAAGGTTATGTGTTGAATCTTATTATTTTCACTATAGCATCACTTGACTTTTTCTTTTATTCTATTAGTGTGGTGAAGTACATTGATTCCTGCTTAAAACTGTTTAAGATGGGCCTGGTGGGGCAGATCTGTATTCCCAGCTACTTGCAAGGCTGAGGAAGGAGGACCACAAGTTAGAGGCCTGCCTAGGCTACGGAATGAGATCAAGGCCAGGCTGGGCAACTTTGTGAGACAGTGTCTCAAAATGAAAAGTAAAAAGGGATATATAGCTCAGGGATAGTACACTTTCTTAGCAGGCACAAAGCCCTAGTTTTAATCCCTAGTACGGAAAAAGATGTCTGGGATAGCTAGTGATTGATGTTTGAGTGTTAAGATGACCTCTTTCTGTTCCTGAAGTAATGCTCACATTTTGTTAACAATGTTTTACATCTGACTTCATGAATAACATTGGCCTGTATTTCTTCCTTTATGTAATGGATTTATTAAGGTTTGGTTTCAAGGTTTTGCAATTCTAATATGTGCCAGAAATTAATTGCTCTTTTCCTTTTCTCTGGGTGAGATTATATAGGATTGACATTATTTCTTAAATTTTGAAATAACACAAAAAACTTCTGGGCCTGTATATTTCCAGATAGGTAGATTTAAAATTTTGAATTCTGTTTGTTTAATAGTTAGGATTACTACGAATCTCTATTTCTTATTGTGTCTGATTTGGTAAATTGTGTTTTTCTAGAAATGTATCCATGTCATATAAAATTTCAGATTTATTGAGGAAAGTTATCCATAATATTATCTTACATTATTTTATTTATTTATTTATTTATTTTGTTTTTTTGTTTTTGTCTTTTTGAGACAGGGTCTCTCTGTAGCTCCAGCTGTCCTGGAACTCACTATGTAGACCTGGGTGGCCTTTAACTTACAGAGATCCCCCTGCCTCTGCCTCCCACGTGCTGGGACTGCAGGCATGCACCACCATGCCTGGACTTATGTTATTTTAAATATATCTGCCCATCACCCATTTTTATTCCTGATATGGTAATTTTGGCTTGTCAGGATCTATTCAATTTAATGAGGCTTATTCAAAATACCATCTTTTGGGGTTAGTTGATACTTAATGTGCTTTACATTTTAACAATCTCTGTTCTTTTTATTTCTTTTTCTACTTTCTTTGTGCTTAATATGCTCTTCTTTTTCTAGCTAAGGTATGAATCCTTAGTTTGCTTTTCATCTTCCTCCCCACTACAACATAAGCTTTTGACATTGCACATTTCTCTCTAACAGAGCTTTAGCCGCGCCTCAGAGGATTTGATGCATTTTCTCATTTTCAGCTTTCTGTTCAAGCATTTTCTGGCTTTCATTAAGATTTCCTCTTTGAAATGTGTTTTATACTTTTCCAACGTATGAAAATTTTTCTTGTTTTTCATTGGTTTTTAGCTTAATTTCATTACATGATTTTTTTAATCCAAGGACCTGGGAGGCAGAGGCCAGACAGGGCTGCATAGTGAAACCCTGTCTCAAAAAATTCTCTATTCTTTCCTGCCTCTATTTCTTGGTAACCTCTTTCTACTTTCTGGTTCTATGGACTTTCTCATTCTACATATTTCATATCAGTGGAATGATACGACATTGTCCATTTTTTTCTGAGTTATTTCATATCATTGCTCTTAAGGCCCATTCTTGTAGCATACATCAGAATTCTATTCCTTCTTACAAATGAACATTATATCATAGGTCTTATATGTGTGTGTGTGTGTGTGTGTGTGTGTGTGTGTATTCCATACTCTAGTTTTCTTTTCATCTGTTGATGGATATTTTGGTTATTTCCACCTTTTATTTTTTTGAGACTAAGTCTCTCTATAGCCGCAGCTAACCTGGAACTTTCTATGTAGACCAGGCTGACCTTGATCTCACAGAGATCCACTGCCTCTGCCTCCTAAGTTCTGGGATCAAAAACATGTACTACAGTGAATTTCCACCTTTTGGCTGCTATAATAATGCTGTTATGAACATTGTCATATGAATATTTGAGTTCCAGTCTTCAGTCCTTTTAGGTACATACCTACAAGTAGAATTACTGAACCATATCATAATTCTTTGTCTAACTGTGAGGAACTGGAAAACTTTTCTATAGGGTCATACCATCTTTCAGATCCACCAGCAATGCACAAGAATTCAAATTTCTTCACATTTTCATCAATATTTGTTTTATTTCTGCGTGTATGGGCATGTGTGCAGTGTGTGTGTGGGCACACACATGCCAT